TCTTCGGAAACTATATCGACAAAAAATGTCCCTTTACTGGCGGCGTTTCCATCAGAGGAAGGATACTAACGGGAATAGTTCGGAAAATGAAGATGAATCGTACTATCGTTATTCGAAGAGATTATCTAAAATATGTAAAAAAGTACAAACGCTATGAAAAGCGTCACAAGAACATATCTGTACACTTGTCTCCTTGCTTTAGGTGAGTCGGTTACCTAATTCATTTCTTTAGAGATGTACAGGTAGGTGACAGTGTCACAGTAGGTGAATGCAGACCGCTCAGCAAGACGGTCAGTTTTAATGTAATTAAAGTCTCCTCTGCCGGAAAAAAAGGGAAAAAATCCTTTAATAAGTTTTGAATACTGATTTATAATAAATGGTCCATGAAATTTTTCTACCTTTGTCCGAATTTGTCCCTTTGCATGTGTAAATTAAGACATTAAATTAGATTCACCGAATAGCCTAATTAAGATAACGGGTGAAATTGTCAATTCAGCTACCGCTGATATTTACTTGGCTGTTGTGTCATCATCTTCGGCTTACACGAGATTTATTTCTTCAATTCGCCGTTCCTAGTGTGGGTATTTACTTTTATGTATTTCGCGATATTTAATGATCTGATTTCTTGCAACCGTTTCCGCATTCTATCTACGGTTTTAGGCTTTACTCCAATAGCCCCGATCTTCCTAGTCTCATTTCTATAACATGCTTTATCTTAATTATATCACTGAATTATTTTTCCCTTATTTCGATTGGTTATTCATGAACGAAATCTCCGTTTGGATAATGCATTAGTTTTCACTGTCAAATAATATCTTAGATAGGTTAACTACTTTCTGTCCCTTATTATATCATGTGTTCGCATCTCGACAGAATGCTAGATCATGTAGTTTATCAGTGATTAAAGCTTCAGGAAATCTCCCGAATTAAGAGTATTGGCCAAAGATTCCTCTAATCTGGCTTTTTTTGGATTAAATTATCTAACCTTGTGATGTCCTCACCCAGATCGTGAGACACTTGTATCATATCTTTCTTAGTTCTATTTAGCAAATTAGGCCTATAAAGAAAACAAAACTTGACATACTTTCACATTTCCAATGTGATAAACTCGTCTGACCATTAGTTTATTGTTCTTGTTGCAAACTGAGGAATTTCGAACGTATTCATCTCCTTATCTACTTTGACATATGAAAAAGCTGTTTTGTTCTTTCGTCTTCCTATTTTGGCTCATATTGTCTGCTCGATTTTATTTTTCGCATTATTGAATCGTCTGATTTTATGTAAACTTTTCCAGATTCAGCTTACGGCCTTAGTCCTCATCTACACAGATAGCCCCATCTACATTATATGACTAATATGTTTTCCTCTTAATTCGATTCTTTATCCACTTCCATCGTGTTTGTTGCATTACTTATCACTTGTTTTTCCAGTATCGAAGGCTATTATCGCAATTTTGTCGGAGCGTCAAGGAGACCTTGTGGGATGTACCTAGTCTCGTGTCCTCTACCATAGTATTCGTCGTTTCCAGCATTGGACCATTGGCTGGGTGTATTCCCAAACTTTTCACTAGCATCGCCAGTTAGGCGCAGAGCTGCAAATTAGAAAAGTGACAAAGTAGATTCCTTAATAATTTTTCTGTTCTATTTCATACTCTTCATGCACATGCCAGTGCTTGGAAATCTTCTTCTCTAGCTTTCAAATCCATGACTCGAGATAATGAAACCACATAATTGTGTGAACAAGTAGATGGGCTATATAATTTGGTCGATATGAAGAGATGCGGTACTAGGTAAAACTTAAAATTGGTAAATGGGATTTCCTTTGTAACTGTTTCTACGATGACATCTTTCACTGAGGATGTCGGCGAAACGTTTGGGAATGTACCAAGCCAATGGTCGAATAGTGGAAATGACGAATTGTATTGGAGAGGACATGGGATAGGGTACTTTTCACCAGGTCGAACTAACGCTTTAAAGCTAAACGAGACCGCGACAAAACAAGTGACCACGCCATCTCGTTCCTTATATTAACGATTTATTATTTTCGTTTGTTGCCTAACGAATTTTCCGCCGGCGTGTGTCGCTTGTCCGCGGCCTCTTCTGCCATTGGATATAGGTATGGTTAGATTCTAGTTTTTTGCAATTCCCTCACTTATTCTTATCTTTACCTCAGTCTTGCCATTCCCTTACGAATGCTGACACTACATGTAGTTACAGGATCATCGTGAATCCTCTCTCTCTCATTGGTCGTCCTTTAGATTTCAGATTGTTTGATCGCAATTTCTTGCATTCGATTTAATCTCACGGCTTGGAACACCTCGCGGATTGTGCATAATTTTAAGGAGAGTGACTTGACGATTCTATGTCAAGGATATATTCCACGATTAGCATTTAAGTGAGGCCGAGGCGTGGGTTTGTGTGTGTTAATGTTACATGTCATCGTGTTATTCAAAGTGTTCTCTAAGCAACAACAGCAACAGAAAACTCGGGTGGTTAAGGTTTATCTTTTAGGAAGTAAGATTTTTACAACTCCGCCTTGAGGTATCGAAAGTATTGGAGACTACCTGTGGGCTGAGGCGAATATAAAAATGTAAGAGTGTAAAAGTCATGAAAGACGGTGTTTTAAATGTTCCAATTATGCATTATCAGGACTGGCCCAGGTCCGGATGCTTGTCTGTCTGCTTTGTCCCAGTGATCGTTTTCCAAACGACTGAAAATGAGTTGGACCAGACTGGTAGGAGCCTTGAGTCCTGAACGGTTGCGGTTCCAGCAGTTTGATCGCATCCAACTGTAGTTAAACTTGGAAGCCGATCATTCAGGTCACTGAAAGTACTCGTCATATTGATTCCGTGATGCAAAAGAGTTCGAATGGCATGGGTCAGCGGGGTAACAGAAGCGATCCTGCCAGCGTTGATATCACTGGAGGCCAGCGAAGAAAGTCGATCTGGTATGTCTAAACTGTCCACGTAGTCCCAGTCGCTCGAGTTCAACTGATTTGTCTGCTCCTCCGCTTTGGCCTTGAGATTAATAAATTCCAGGTCAACTTTGGCCTTTGAGTTTGTACTATCACTGTCTTTCGGAGCCAGTGCGTCATTGGAGTCGACAATAGTATGAAGAAGGATCGATGTCGAAGCATGCAACCGACTGCTGGCGACTTCTTGGTCGATCAACTCGCGATAGTGGGAGCCAATGCCCGGATTAAAGCTGATGTGGCAGCCGCCATGGGCCGGATTAATTGAGTCCGAGCCAGTGATTTTGTTGTTCAGCTTAATCGAAGAAGAGATTACTTCTTGACCAACTTCAAACCCGCCTATAGGAAGTGAAGTTTCACCCGCTAGTTGTAGCAGCCGAAGTGGAGATGAGTAGGAAGTTAATGAATAGAAGTATTCCTCAGAGTTGTCAATTTTACCTGTGGCGAATTCATCGTCATCATCATCATCGTCATCCAGACCTCCACTGTCTTCTTCTATTTCATATTCGTCCGTAGCAAGCTGGGCTTCGGAATTCTTGCACGTGGAGGTAAACAGGAGGCGTTTTGCAATTGGATCATTGCTAAGAGACTCACTGATCTAAAGGCAGGGTATAGAAGTTGAGAGAAAAAGTTGAAAACAGAGTTATAAATATATTTGGAAACCCCAGTGCATTATTTAAAAGGACGGATAATACAAGAAACAATTCATGACAACTCTTACGTGTAAAACTGATTCCAGCGAGCCCGTATATAAGAGAGACGTCAGAAATATTTTCCCATAAACACTTATTAGGCTTCGATAGTTGGGTATAATTATCTTTATAAATAAGAAATAAACTGTAATAACACTTGAATAGGAAAGATGAAGTGAATGGCTGGGTTGGTCTTTGTTTGCTGATAAAAGAGCTACATTTGTTTTACCGCATACTATTAAGCATAAAATCCTAGGAAGCTATAGACAAAATATCATTTTGCACAAAAGTGGATATGATTCGCCGGGAACTAATGATAAAACTTGTATTTAGTTGTGATTTTTGTGTAGAAGTCGGGGGTAGGCTTTCGGTAGGAAGCTTACATAATGGGAAAGCATCCTTCAGCAAGTTACCGAAAGCTAGGCCGATAATGGCGATTGGCCGTACTTGTTTGGTGAATTTTCAAATGATTTTTCTCCCATAAGCTTATCACGTCTGGACAGAGAGAAGCAGAGCACAGAATAAGTGGGATGCATGACAATTTGATGTAGTATACGGTGCTCAAATCAATTTTTCTTGGGTTTTCAATTAAGACAACTTATGAGTCACTTTCACCTAACTCTTTATTTGAAACGAAAGGCTTAATCATAAAAATTAAAACCAACTTTTTACTATCAGTTGATAGAATACTAAAATATAATTAGTATGAAGAAACAGCTTGGTAAAAAAAAACTAAAAATGTCGCAGGATAAAAGCCATGCCAACCTACAGCTGCAAGAAAAGATGTGAACGATTGGGGGCGAGATTGATTCCGATGAAAGCATCGTCATATAAGAAGTTATCAAGCAGGAATGGTTTAATTGGAGATAACATTTAGTCAAAATTAATTATCTGGATCTTTGCATATCCTAAAGTATGCGCAGAGCGGTCGCTCAATCAAATTAATATAAATTAGAGAAAAAACCGCAAACACCGATATGGAGGCTAGGTTTCGAATGACCCCCTGATATAGTGACGTTTGAAAAGTGGATGGAAGGAATTCCTAAATTGGCCTCACCGAATAGAGCGAAAGATATTTGTTTAATAAGGCGAACATCTCGGCTAACTGTGCTGCGACCCCGATGAATCTGTCATTACTTTTCATTCGCTGTGTGAGGGACATCGAAAAAACCAGAAATAACCGCTTACGAACAATCACCACAAAGAAAGACCTATACCTAACTCTGCGATTTTAGTGAAGCATATTATAAGTTGGCAGGCTAAATAATACTTATCATAAAAATTAAGTAAGAATTATATTTGGCTACTATGGAGGAAAAGGGAGAGAGCAGGAAGAGCCGTCGAATAGAAAAGGGCTTAGTAAACTGGGTTATAATTGAGGTTCGAAATATTCAATCGAATCATGATTATTGCATACATATAGGGCGCATGAATCCCAAACTCTAAAACAAGCATTAGTATTGCAGGATTATAGGCTACTTTATTTACGGTGTAGATACGAAGAGAAACTGGGTTACGATTAATCTCTTGTGATGACAATGTTAGGGGAACTTTCATTTCGTATGAAAATGAATGAAGAAGAGTTGATCAATCTCACCAGATGAGGACGGATGAATCTCTTACTGCAGCCTTTTGGCTTTTATACGATATTCATGTTGACGCAGTCCACAAGACTTCCTCCCTCGTTTTAGGTGAAAACGTGCTGAGCTTTCGTCCATCATATGATGGACATCATCAGAGCTGTATGTCATTCTTGTAAAGTCTCACGTTAACACTATTCGGCTCTACCTTACTTCTTATATAGACTCATCTATCAATCTAGATTGATATAATGTGGTTTTATTAATTATCTTTCATACTGGTCCTATTACTTGCTCAAGTGTGTGCGTATGTGTATTTGTGCGTTTTAGCATCTATATGCAATACGGTTGCTAAATCAGAGTTGTCAAAAGGTTTAATCTCAGGTTCTGATCCTCAAGATCTAATGACCCAAAAGAAAGCCTTGACCGAGACTGCGTAAGTCTGTACACAATTATGGTTGAGATAATGAGATATAAGCTTGTAAGCATGAAAATCAAGTTACGAAACCACTTGTCTATGGTCATTAACGTTTAACCCTTCAAGGAAAGGCAAGACTGGGGTTGCGTAATCTGACATGTCGGTTTGGTTGATGAGCTTACTCTAACATTTTGGACGAATGAGTGAAATTAGAAATATCACCGAGCAGACAAATTGAGTGGCCTTTCTTTGACTGCGGCTCAACACCATCTCTCTCTTTCAATCTATCAATCAGGCATAAGTAGTTTCCACTCAATTTTCTACCACCATTCCTCATATTCAACGTATTTTCTAAGCTATTAATTTCTTTCTTTTAACCACAGACGTACCATAATCAGCAACCCTACTAGTTTGAGACCATTTTATTTCATGTACAGTTTCTACCATATGTTCGGCCACTGACTGTTGGATCCAGCTACCTTTGCAAGCCTTTTTGTGTTCTACCAATCGTTGTCGAATAGGTCGGCATGTGTCGCCAACATACACTTCGACCACTTAAGCAAACAATCTTGTAGCAGCCGGATCTCGATAATGGCTCATATTTCTCTCTAAAAGATTACATAACAGAATAAAGTGTGAAGGCCTATTTGATCACTATTCTATGCCCCATTTTTTTTCACTAATACGCCTATCTTTTTTGAGAGAAAGCATGCTGGCAAAATTAGGACATGGGGAAAGGTCTCAGTCTATCTTTGACTCTTTGTCTCTTAGAAGATATGTAGATATATATTTTCATAACTAAAAAAATTAAAATGAATAGGCATAGATAGATATAAGAAAGTAAGGAGTGCGTGTGAGCGTAGGCATGTTCACGTCTCTACGCAACACATGCCCTAAATCAGTGATAAAAAAGCCTAATGTCAGGCTCTGGTCATCAAGGCTTAAGGACCAAAGAAGAAGCCCTGACCAAGGCTACGTAAGTCCGTAATCAACTATGGTTGAAATAATGAGATGTAATCTTGTAAGTTGAGCTACTAAACTACCTGTCCTAACCTCTTCGTCTAGGGTCATTAAGGTTTAACAACTCAAGGAAAGGCATGACTGAGGCTACTGTTGGAATTGTGGTTAAAATTAGATAAGGTTGTGAAAGGAGTATATTCTAGATAATAAAGCATATTTTGGTTAAATGATTTTTAGAAAACCATAAAAGAAATTGACCTTTTACTCGAATATTCGGGATTACTTAACCATCAAACTCGATATCGATTTGCTATGTTTAAGGATGATCAGAAGCTGAACAGACCTGTGCAAATTCCTTCTTGATAGAGTTAATTACCAAATGTCCTCGGAAGAGCTGTTTAAATTACTTAGGACCCTGCGGCATTTCCAACAACTTATTTTCTAATCTGGCATCAGGGACCAAATTCATAGTCTTAATCTTAAGCCACAAGAAGTCAGACATCTGGTGCTCATGCGTGTCAACACACAGATATAGTTTGACTCCAAAAAATGAGAGGGGCATTTGCTGTTGATATTGTGTTTTTTGATGATGAACTTCTAAATATCTAGCTATGAAGGCTCAAATTTTTACATAAATCCTCTCAGTAACGGGCATTTTATGCCCAAACTGAAAACCAAAAGCAAAAAATGCCTTTAAAGAATCTCTTATTAGCTATTGCACAGGTTTTTCCTAATATCACTAATGAAACCGTCTACCCTGATAAAAATGTTCACCTCTAGCTCTGGTCGCCTACTAACTCTCGAGTGGATTTCTGGTCTGTTTGGCTATAAGGCCGAATTTCTGTGACTGTTGTGATTATCCTTCTCCCTAGTCACGTGGCCGTCAGGCCCTCAAAGTTGAGGTTGTTTCTTCGAGAAAACTCCACCCACTGAGAACGTCTTTGAATTAATTTAGAATCTTTCTTGCGATCCCTTTTCCTCTGGTCTACTATAGATTATTAATCCATGCGTCTCCTTATTGCTCCTTTTGTCGTATCCTTGTTGCCTCCGGGTATGATTAGGCAATAGACAAAGTTATCTCTAGCTCTTCCTTCTTCCAATCTCTTAATTACAGTTTTTCCCTAGAATGGCAATGGCCTTCATAATCTTCAGTTTCCTTGTGCTTTCATCATGAGGCCCTTCTTTTTGTTGCCTTCCAATTTATCTCGTGTCCGGTCTCTGCGATATATTCCGCCATATCCAGTCGTTCGGTATTTATTTTCAAGCAGAGTATTTGATTTATAGAAGTGGCCATAACAGAGGCCACAACATCTTGGTCTTCATATCTTCAAGAGTATTTGATGTTCCTTGATTTGTGTGTGAAATTTTCTCCCTGTTTCGCCAATATATATCTGTTCGCAGACACCACATACTATGCAGTAAACTCTCGAGCAATCTAATTTGTCCATCCTCTCATGTTGCGTGAGGACTTGTGAAGTGTTGTTTTTACTTTCCTATTCATTTGAATGTTACATTTTCTTAAGATTGGCCGTAAATTTTGAGCTAATCCGCAAGAAGGGAGGCGTACCCTCTTTTATTAGTCTTTCTTCATCTTTACCCTTCTTTAATAACCCCTGTCTTCCCATTGGTTCTTCCCGGTTAGTATGCTTCTGCATTACTTCTG